CCCGCTTATATATTTACGCTTGAAATTCTTCTACACGTAAAATTGAGAATGCGGGCGACAGGCTTATTTGCAATCATGATTTTCCAAACGTAGTTTGGGGACGAAAGTAGGAGGCACCCATTGAGGCTCAAACTCACGACTCAGTTGTAATTGTTCTAGCGAGACAAGCTTGTTAACCATTACACCGCCTCCAGATGCCTCCAGGCTTTTTTCAATATATCAATATTCAGCGTCTGTTGTGCGATAAAAAGGGAGTTAAGTTTGGGAATCCCCCAGCATAGTTGCCAAGCGACTACACATCAAATGCTGATTTTCAAGGCAGGCAGCCACTCCTTAGATGAACCGCTGACATAACACAAAGAAAATTCTTTACTCATTTTTCCTACGTATCGAATAGAGATTATTACGATACAATTAACATGTTCGAAATTTCGGGCCCTTTTACCGACCCGGCCACATCTTTGATGCATTTCATGTTTTAATTTATCATCGATACACAAACGTAACATTGACAAAAGGCTTATTTGTAAGATGTTTCTATTCATCGCCTGTTGCGCAAAGTAAGCGAAATAATGCCAGGAATCCTCATCCTACGTGCAAAGCGACCGCATATTCATCATCATTCAGTTTCCTTACCAGTATGACATCGTTAGTACACATGTACCTGATTATTTGACGATGGTCTTCAGTGCAGGTCGTTGTAACTCACATACATCATAAGCCGTTGACTACCTGCACTTTTCACGCACTCTTAATACGAGATGGATATAGAGTAAGCATTCCAGCCATTTGAACAGCTCTTTCTGCCTAAGTGAAGAGAAAAATAGAAAACATTTTATGTAACGTGTTTCATCCTCTGAAAGGACTTCGTCAGGGTAAAGTGATTTTCTTATTTATGGAATTATAGGAGAGGGAGGAAGAAATATAGACGTAAACGTCGGTTATAATTATAAATGTGGCCTTTTTAGGGGCCAGAAATAAAGACACAAAGAGAAGAAATGAGTTAGATATATTAACAGAAACAGTAATACAAACATATAGAAACGAGAGTCTTACAGCAAGAATGTTCGGTCCGACTGTCAGAGCTGACTGCTGGAAACTTCCCTCTCTAGAAGGCAGTACCTGCTCCTATTTATAGCTGGAAAAGTCTATGCGTTCATGGATATATTACCATAACAGTGCATTAAAGGGAAACGCTAACTTTTAATTTTTCTGCGATCCTCCTACACTTATATAATTCTATATGAACACTAGTCTGATGAAGTCGTTTTAGAGAACGAAACACATTATATTGTCCACTTTGTCATTTAATTATCCAACATTGTTCTGCAATGTAAAAAATATATATTATATTCTCTTTCTAAAAGCAATAAATTTAAAATGTAAGCAAACATTGTTTTCGCTTTAGATCTGTACACATTTTTTGTTGATAGTGTTTTCAGGCGATATTCTTTCTTTTTTTTATCGGTGAGCTGAAAGAAGGAAAATATCTGAAGACAATAACACTTTAAATACTTGCAACTCTGTACGATTCTTAAGGCAATTTTTAGAGAGGGTTGATATATTTTTTGCCTATATTCGAACAGGAATTAAAAAAAAGACGAAAAAGGAGAGGATGTAGGAGATGAAGCAAAATCTTATTCATCTTCAAAGAGGGGGACACGAAGAAAAAGAGGAAGAGAAAGAAAATGAAAAAGAAGAAAAAGAACATGATGATGATAATGATTATGATGAATGAGAAGAAGAAAGTAGAAAAATCAAACATACGAAGAAGAGGAAGAAGTAAATGAAAAAGAAAAGGAAGAAGAAAAAAGGAGTAAAGAACATGACGATGATGATGATGATGAATGATAATGAAGAAAGAGAAAATGATGATGATGATGATGATGATGATGATGATCAATGAAAAGAAGAAAGTAGAAAAATCAAGCATAAGAAGAAGAGGAAGAAGAAAATGAAAAAGAAGTAAAGAACATGACGATGATGATGATGAAAGAAAAAGAAGAAAGAGAACATGATGATGATGATAATCAATAATAGGAAGAAAGTAGAAAAATCAACCAGAAGGACAAGAAAAAGAAGAAGAAGAAATGAAAAAGAAGAACATGATGATGATGATGATGATGATCAATGAAAAGTAGAAAATCAAGCAAAAGAAGGACAAAAAGAAGAAGAAGAAATGAAAAAGAAAAGGAAGAAGAAGCAAATGAAAAAGAACATGATGATGATGATGATGATGATGATGAATGAAAAGTAGAAACATCAAGCAGAAGAAGAAGATTACACTTGGATTGTCACAGCACTCAATACATAATAAATATAGAGCAGGAAGGGGGAGTGTTGTGCCGACTATTCAAAAATCAGCATTCAAAATCTTCACATTTTAACGCTAACATTGGGAAAATTATGTAATTGCATCAACCATGATGCAGGCCCAAACAGATAATTACTTCATCTTCATAATCATCATCATTATAGTTATAATCAGTCTCTTGACTGAGTAGGGTCGTAGGATCGGTGCGTCGCTAGGCACTCGACCAGTTCCCTTTAGATATGTGACTTGAAGGTCAAGGAAGTATCCATTGTCTTGGACAAATAGACCTGGCGGAACCCTCTCCACGTCAAACCACGACCGATGTTCCTCAATTTGAAGAATCGCCTTTGTCATGAAAGCGTGGCCTTTGATTCCGCTTGCCTTCAGTCGAGGAGGTCATCCGCCCAGCGTTATCGTGCCTTTTATCACACCGGGTGCATCCATAGCTATAAAGCCCAGTCTACCCTACTGTACTAGATGATCCTAAAAGAAGGTTCAGTCGCCCTTTGACAGGCCTTGTTTTTTTTTTACCTGCTGTGTTTCTAACCACTCTCCTCAAACCGTCCTAGGTATGACGATAAACTACATCCGCGTCCAGGGTAAGACGATAAACTACAGCAAGGCCTCTGGTCAGGAGGCTTTGAGGAGCGTGGAACCACCTCTTAATTGCTGGTGTTCCCAGGTCCACCCTGACCCGGGGTGGTAGCACCTGTTAGGGCCCCATCTATGGGAAAATAGTTAACCCCCGAAACTGAGATAAAAAGCATTATGAAAGTGTAAAACTAGGTTTTAATACCAGAAATACTTTGTAAAAAAAATATTACCAGAAATAAAACTTTTTTACGAAAATAAAATCATCCAAGATTGTAAATTTCCTAAAAGAAGTTGGATTGTACTCAAAAATATGAGTAATTGAAAAATGGTTCAAATATATACGTATACATACACACCTTTTTTTACCAAACTATCGCTATGAATCTATTTAAAAAATGTTGGTGGCATGAAGTGACCCACTTAGGTTTTGATATGCCATAAAACAACCAACCACCCTCCTCAACCGGTTTATTTGTCGATAATCCACAGCTATGCAGTAGCACTCGTAGATTAATATAAAGAAATTTACTAAGTCTAACTAAATACGAGGCTATATTTTTGTAGCATCCACTTGATATTGAATTCATTACAATATAGATACCCTTTATTAATAATATAGATGCCCTTTATTAATCATTAGCTAAGGTAGGCGCCTTAGGTTTTGGCGTAATACAAATTACGTGTACAAATATATATATACATATATATATAACTGGCCACTCGTATTCGAGGATAACTGTCTTACTCAGTCCTTAATGGTGGTTCTTCACGTAAATTTTCAACGTTCTTTTTCGATAATGGATGCAACGCTTATATTTTTCTTTAAGAATTACGCTGATTTAATAGGCCTTTGCTCAGGCGCATTGGTCTTTATTCAACACCCACAGAACAGACCTTAGTTACAGTTTCTGAGAAAGAGCGTGTTATCTAGCGTGATTAACAATTTGAACGAGGCCAGCAGAGTCAAGCCCTTGGCCACGATGACTTGTGACTTCGTGCTACTTCCATCTACCCCCATTTCACTCACAAGGCTTGGGTCAACACGTGATCTGGTTTTCAGGCACTTTCCAAAGGTGCCGCACACTGGAATCGACCCCTCCAGACCGATAACATCAGGCAGTCTCCTTCCCGACAAATCGACCAGGGTGTGATTCGAACCCGGATCTCATGGTTAAAAAAAAGCGAACGTTCTGACCACTCGGCCACGATATGTACAAATACCGAACAGCAAAATCAGCGTAATTTTTAAAATATATATATATATATATATATAAGCGTTGCATCCGTTATCGAAAAAGAACGTTATAAATTTACGTGAAGAACCAGCAGATAATAAATTTCATATATATATATATATATATATATATATATATATAAAGAGAGAGAGAGAGAGCAAGCAAGCAAGTGTCTTGGTCATTCGGGTCTGTAAATTGCTTTAATTGGAGTGGGCGGTAAAAATGAGCAAAAGGAAATTGTTAAGAAAAAAAAGAAATTTAGTGCAAAGATCCTTTTGAAGATTAGAAGACATGCAGATGAAGATGAAAATGTGTAGAAGAAAGAAAAGAAGTCATACAAGAAGAAAAGGAATAATTAGAATTTATTTACACTGAAAGAGATTTGATGAAAAAGCAGACGATAAAGAAAGAAACGAAGAAAAAATATGAGATTCATATTCTGCCTTTTTTTTTTTCGATGTTCTTCAGACGAAAGAAATGAAGACCAAAGACAAGTTCCAATTCTTTCACTGCTCTTATTTAGTCTTACAATTCTTGGTTCTTTTTCTTCTTGTTTAAGAAAAGATCCATAACTTCTTTTCATTTTCGCTTCTTTGATTGAATTTTGTTTCGTCTCTTTTTCATTCTACTCAATTTTTCTTCTCTTTCCTTTTCTCTTATTTCCCTCTTATTAATTTTGTTTCCTCTTTTTTCTTCGATTTCCTTTTTTATTCTTTCCCTCCTCTTATTTTTCTTCTCTTTTTTTGTCATCATTCCTTTTCTCTTCATTCCCTCTTCTATTTTTTTTCTTATTGTTTTCTTTGGTTTCCATCTGCCTGTCGATTTTCTTCTTCACCGCCATCTTCTAATTCTTTCATATGATGTATACGTATTTCTTCTCATTCTTCTTTTTCATTTGCACTAGCTTTAACTTTTTTTCTTCTTATCCCATTCTCTTTCTTCTCTTTCTTCTTCTTATTCTTATGTATTTGGTTATTTTTCTTAAATTTTAAGAAATCTCCATTTTTTTATATTGGCAGCACTTTCCGCGCCAATATAAAAACGCTGACAAAAAATGAACGTCATCCCAAGTAAGGTGTAAAAGTTGAAAATGTGTGCAAAAATGTTCGACATTGGTTGTAGCTTCTCCAAAATTTACTAGCCAACGGCAGCCTCAGAATCAAGCCAATCAAAACGCTTCTTATATTTTAAGCCGATTTAGCAACGCTTCTTATATTTTAAACCGATTTAGCATGTTTATTAAATTTAAGATTTTCTCCATCGGAAACACACACATATTGTCATTTATTAGTGTTATTTACTAAATTTTGTTAATTCTGACACAATGCTATGGATTTCTGGCTTTCACCAAATATAAACTCTCCTTTGAAATGACTTGGACTATATATATATAGAAATATATATTATGAAATGGACAAAGTCCGACAATTATGTTTTTAAAACATTTTTTATGTTTATGCATTCTTTTTATAGATACAAATATTCAAGTAAATGCTCTGTTTGTCCGAGAAATTTTCATAGAAAATATGCGTCCTCCGACAAGAATCGAACCTGTATCCTATACGGAACCGTCATATAGCCTGACGTGCTTTACCGATTGAGCCACAGAGGAGCGTTTCGGTTAGCAAGGTCGATTTTACTGTTTTCATGGAAAATTGTAGTTTAAAAACAGTAAATAAGAGCATTTACTTAAATATTTGTATCTATAAAAAGAATGTATAAACATAAAAAATTTCTTTAAAGATATATATATATATATATATATATATATATATATATATATATCGCGAGAGAAAGTGTGTGTGTCTAGCAACCCCGATGATATAAAGTTGCTCTTCGTTTGGGATTAATGACTTCGATCCGGAAAGAGTGCATTTGATCCACTGCACTGTCTTTCGCCACTATAAACAATTTCATACACGGGTATTACTCGATATCGGAAGATATAACTTAATGATCCACTGGGTTCCCGTAGCCTAAAGGGACAAACAGCTCAATGATGACGAACAATGTTATTGATAGAATTCTCTCGAAATATTCCAAATCAACATTTGGTTGCTAATGATGCGAATGTGACAAGCGCGATATGAGATACTGGCTGAGCAAGAAACCAGTATTCAATTATTGCCAAGCAATAATCATACTCGTTTACGAGGATGCAGCCATTATTTGTAACTAATTTAGTTTGGTGGTCAGTTTTCGAGCACTTCTAGATTTTGAAGGCACATTTTCTAAATGGCACCTCCTTCCTAACCTGGAGGATTGGCGTAACACAGTCTTCCTATTCCTGTTTTTCTTCTTATTTTCTATTCTTTTTTTTTCCATATTTTTTGCCTGTGTAAAGAGTTTGTTGGTCAGTTGGAAGTTTTTTCACGTTCTTCGGATCTCAAGCCGATGAATCGGTGGGTGGAGTTGGGGTTTTCCTGTTTAGATGACTTATTACTATTGCACCATTCCTAGGGCAGTAGCTAGAAAATCACCTTTCAGGTCAACTTGCAGATGCACCCGGCTTCTCTGATGGACTGAGGGCAAAGTCTATTTTGGCATCGTTTGGAGCGAGTTACATACTGCAGTAGAGTTGGAAATAATAAACATGAGAACACGTGTGGAAATAATTTGTAGTGATATTTTTTGTTTGTATTTTTTTATATTTATTTAATTTTTTTATATTTTTATTTACTAAGTAAATATTAGTTTTAGCATACGTCCCTAGAAATGGTGCATTATTATTAAGTATGCTGAGCTTCTAAACCGACTTACCGAATAGATCTTAGATTCTCTCGAGGATCTAAGAGACTCAATCCTTCGTATTTCTTGGCTGGGTGTTTATATATCCTCCTGGCTTTGATCATCCCGTATATATGACCATTCTATGCGCAACTAGATGAACTATCGTAAAAACCCAAACTAAGCAGGGGCGCCCGTGAGGATCAAAGCTCGCTGTTTCGTGAAAGAGGCTTTGCTGTCACTTCACCCAAACTAAGAGTTATAAATATCCGCGATTCATAAACTTTGTAAAGGATCGAGCTTAACTCGTACGAATTTCTTTAAAATAGCATTTCTTTCTTGTAACCAATGACTTTCTCATTGTTTTAACTGATCGACTCAGTAAACAAGTGATTAGAATTTCTTTAATTTAATCTTTTTTTTTCTTTTCATTTTCTTTCACTAATTGCACATCTGCTTTTTCCGTATCTGCTTTTCTTCATCGTTTACATAAACATTGGCCTGAAATATTTAAAACGTTCTTAAATTGACATAAGTACAGCTGCCATATCTGGACTGGGGCTGTCATGTCTGGGCTAGGGCTGTCATATCTGGGCTGGGGCTGCCATATCTGGACTAGGGCTACCATATCTGGACTGGGGCTGCCCTATCTGGGTTAAGGCTGCCATATCTGGACTGGGGCTGCCCAGTCCTCACTTAGTTGTCTTGATAGAGTTAAGAAGTGTCCACAAGATAGGAAATTGTGGAGGGCCATGATCGCTCATTTCCTGAAAGGACACTGTACAAAGAAGAAGGAGAAGAAAAAGAAGAAATTAAGTCACTTTTATTAATGCTCTAGTGAAAGTCATAAAACCATCTATTCTTATCATTTCTAACTAAGGTAGACTTTGCCTTTTTATTTTGAAGAACTTGAGAACTGAACGGAGAAAGACAAGTCTAAATTCGAAATGACGGAAAAGGTAACAGGATATCACTCTACGAGAAGTCAATTCATAATTAATAAAATAAAAGAAACAGTGGATAGCCATGATCTCCTACATTCTAAAGTCGTGTTATAGGGGATATTAAGTGCCTCATTCATTATTTCTATAAATTCGATTCTCACTTGGTGTTTAACATTGGTAGCTTTGTACCAATTGACATCGTGCTGGCAATCAATATTTGATAAACCCCTTTGCAACTTTTGGGAATTTCATATGTATTGCGTAACCAAGTTTTGCGACAGACGAGACTTAATAAATATTTGAGAAGGCAAAGAAAGGAGTGACGTTTTTGCTCGTAACATATTAAACGCTCATCACTCCAAATCGTTGTAGTGCAAAAAGATCATACAGGCTAGGTCGTACGTTCAATCCCAAGTATCGCCATCAATATTTAGCTCATTTTTTAGATATTTGTAATATTCTCAGGCGATTTCAAGGGCAGCACTGCCTCCTGAATGCATTTGATTTTGGATCCGCGTTACGTCTAAGGCCCAGTGGGAAGATGAATGGGGACATAACGAGGCCATCACTAGTCATCACTTCAAACACCATGATGTTGAAAGGATATTTAGTTTTCATCTCATGGTACATCGTTTGGGGACACTGCACATCCTCAGACTGACAACCAAACACTTGAATTGTTCTTATTGGATCTTCCGGCGCGAATAGCAAGCAATACAGTATGCTGTTTCTAAATTTCTGTCAAAGTGATTTTCCTTTATGATGATCATTATCTCACAGACGGTGCCCAACTGACCCCACCCCTGCACTAAAGTCTGCAGTCGAAAAAATCAAAAACAAAAAACGCTCATGCACGAAATTAAGAATATGAAAACGGCAAATAATTTACGCATCGCACACTATATATATATATATATATATATATATATATATATATATATATATATATATATATATATAGTATTAAGCTATGCTATATTTATGGGTAAAAGTTTTCAATAGAAGGGATAGGGCGTATGTAAATATAAAAGTTGAAACTGAGATCAACACGTTTCGGTGACAGTCTGTTTAATGCGTGAAGGCAATCTTCAGGCCATGTATTTTGCATTGGGTTGACTGTTTATATATGTTGGCTAATGGTACATTACGGGTAGCAACATCTATCGCATTATCCTAACGATTATTGGGTGGGCGGTAAGTAGGAATAATTATGGACTGAATGCGGTTATTTGCAACTATTTTTAATGTTTGATTATATATATATATATATATATATATATATATATATATATATATATATATATATATATATACAGAGAGAGAGAGAGAGAGAGATGGTGGACTCTCCCATCGTATTCGACGTATGAGAGTCAAGCAGCTCAGTTCCTATGAACCAACAGCCAGACACCAGCACCCAGCACATAAGATTTGATTATAGTAGTGAAGGCTTTGTGTAAAACCAACCAGATTTTTGAAGGGCCTAATTCAGAGACCTGGTGCACTACGTGCCACAAGGTCCCCAAACGACCCTCTGCAGGTTTTGAATTCACAGTTGTCCTTCTCCTAGACCAGTTGCCATCCAAGGCTACAGAACCCAGTCTGTCCTGCTATTTACCCATAGCTGGAGGGAAAAGAAGAGGATTCATAATTTTCCTAAGGGTATTAGCACGTAAGTGGATGTAATGGATTTAAGGAGGCGCAGTGGCGTAATGAATAGCAGCTCGGCTTGATGAATCGGAGGAATCAGAGAGCCGAGTTCGAATAAATATATATATATATATATATATATATATATATATATATATAGATATATTATTATTCCGATATCGAATAAATATATATATATATATATATATATATATATATATATATATATATATATATGTATAGATAGATATATTTATTATTCCGAGTTCGAATACATATATATATATATATATATATATATATATATATTATTATTATTATTATTATTATTATTAGAAGAAGAAGAAGAAGAAGAAAGAAGAAGAAAAGAAAAACCTTAAAAATCCATCTCGGTTATATTTTTATATCCATCTCTTCAGACCAAAAGTTTTTCTAGAAATGGAGTCAATCCATCCAGGCAAAGGAATAGGAAAAAGGAAATAAATAAAAGAAAAAAAAGAAAAATAGTTGACTTCATTTCTATAGACCCTTTCGATCTGAAGAGATGAACATAAAAATATTCATGAAATAAATTATAACCGTAATGAATTTTTAAGGATAGTCTTTACTTATTATATTTCTCTTTGGATCAGTATCATCATTGGAAATATCCCTACCTATTACAAATTGATTATATATATATATATATATATATATATATATATGGTTAACTGGTTATCAATATTTTTTGCTTATACAAAGCCTAAGCATATTTTGTATTGTATAAATATTTCTTTACACCTTTTTTTTTTTTTTGCCTTAACATTAAAACAATGCTTCTTCCATACACAAATGCTTGAATTTTACCCATAGCTTGGCAGGAGAACGCATTAGAACAATTGCCATGAAAATATATTTTAGAAAAGACATAGGGAAGCCACGTCACGGCAGTGGAAAAGTAACTGAAGTCGAGATGCCAGGTCAGGACTGATCACATTACAGACCTTTCTTTGGATTTCTTCAACAATCTAGCAATATATAGCAGAAGAATCAGGCAAGATGGGGCAACAATCGCTTCACAGATGAATGTTTACTACGGTCTTTTAGCTTTATTTACACGGCGAAGAATTGTAGCTATCGATATGATATTTTGCTCGTAATGGCAATATTGTTTTTTTATTCGACAACAATGCGACAGATGAAGTTGGTTTTATCACAAACCAGAAGTCTCTTTGCCGCTTAGCTTGGAATTACTTTATGGTAAAGTGTCTGTTAACGGCAAAACGCACACACGGACACAAATGAAGTCATGGAGAGGGCGTTCGCACAAGCGAAAATCTAATCACGCCTCCTTCATGTAGATTTGTTTGAACTCGATTAAAACTCTCTCTCTATCTTGCTCTCTCTCTCTCTCTCTCTCTCTCTCTCTCTCTCTCTCTTCCTCCCTCTCTTATGTACACGTTGTACTTTCATGTAGGGCGCCTTCCGTAGCGCGATCTTTAACAAGCTTACCTGCCGTGCCAATTCGGCAATGTGCTTCGTCCTCTTTAGCGTCCTCCGTGACAGAATATGAGAAACAAAGCAGGTGCCTCATAGAACGACTTCTCGTCATTTCGCTATTGATTTATAAGCTCATCTACTCGACCATTTAATCAGTTGTGAATTTGATCCTCACTACGTGCCACATACTTGCAGCCCCATTCTGCACGTGTTCAGTAAATAAACACTTTCAGGTCATTCTATTAAGCGTTGTAATTCTATTTAGATCTACAAATCGGCAGTCCGAGTAACGCTTAGCAACTCGAAAAGCCGAGATCGAATTCTGATCAAGTTCGTTGCATTCACCTTCGCACAATTACCCCCGAGGACGGTATGAATTCAGCTTCTCTCTTCCCAACTTGCTGTGTCTAGTGAAAAATAGTCTGAAAAATTTGTGAAAAATTTTCAGGGCGCTTTTGAATAAAGATAAGAGTTTTCCTCCTCCTCCTTCTCCTCCTCCTCCTCCTTCTCCTCCTCCTCCTTCTCCTCCTCCTTCTCCTCCTCCTCCTTCTCCTCCTCCTCCTCCTCCACTGCGAGTGAAAGGTGGTTCAGTCAACCCTGTTATTTAACTCATAGATGTGAAGAGAAGAAACGAAATGAAGTCATAAACTTTACCAAAGTTATTAGTGCCAGTGTGAACTCAATAAACTCGATCGGATTTCGAACTTGTCTCACCTATTTCTCTTTCCGAATTCGCTATAATTAACATAAATATTAATGATGGCAGAAATACTTTTATATTTTAAAAAGTAAATGGATTTCGGGCAGATGTTTCAGAAAGATCTTTCGAGTGATCAAAAAGAAATGAATGAACGGAAAATGCGTCAGGGGCTGAGTAATCAAGCGTACTGCTTTATTGCAAACTACAACAGACGACACTTCGTCTCGGAAAAATCAGACATAGAAGTTTGAGGTTGGGAACGCTCACAATATGTTTTTTCTATATAACTTGATAGTAAATCTTTCTTCGTTTGACACGAGATCGGATAGTGAGGAAAGCTGTACTAACGTAGGTCTTTCGTAAATGCGAAGTTGCTTAAAACGAATTTTCGAAACTATAATTTCTTTGCCATTTAAATAGGCCTACATTGGACCAGATGGGCTTACGAAGATTAAGTTCTAATATGTTTGGCGTCTGACTAAACTAGTAATTGACTAAATTATTTTATAAATTGAACGCATTTTCGATTCCAGCTGCTTGTGTGTCAAGATTTTGGCAAATTTGTTTACATTGTACCAAGAGGTGTAGGTAGGTGGAGCTGCTGTTAACTGTTTCATAGAAAGTACATTTGTTATATGAGTCAAGATAAAGCATCTATTTATTTTCTTAAATGAACCCTGACTTGTATAAAAAGGAGTGGAACAGCTTAAAGCATGTTCAACACTTAACGTATGAAATAAAAACAAATTTATCATAGATAGGCATAGTCTGACACAAGGCCACCAGTATAGAAAAAACAAGTGAGGATGAAACTCAATACAATGATATATTCTAATGATATCAATATACAGGGTGCGATGAGTAAATTGTCGCCATCTTATATTTTTAATTTCGCTCATACGTGTTGTTTGTTTTTGATTTTGTCGACTGTTTAGTATTGTCGGCTCAATTGGTCACTGTCTGTGATACAGACAGGTCCTATAGCCTTGGGTGGCAAATGGCCTTAGAGATGGCGCCTCACATCATATTCCGCGGTCTTCGGCTGTCATTCGAGTGGTTGGAGAGAAGATGGGTGCCGCCAATCTATCTGAAAGCCAACTGAAACGATCATTTAGGCAGATGAATCAAAGCCTGTTTCTTCTGCCCTCGAGTTCCCTCCCCACAAGCCGACAATTGAAGCAATCGACGAAGCAACTGATGATAATATTGATGATGATGATGATGATGATGATGATGACATAAATTTCACAGAGCTACACATAAGATGAAACTCTATTGTGGCAGAGAGAGAGTCTGGGAAACACACAGATACACATATATTTTTTTTAGTGAAATTGGAATAGATTTGAATAGTGAAATTAAATCAGAGCATTTTGTTTACTGATGTGGAAATCTGACCTAGGGCAGAAGTTGTACCCATTGAATCTGGGTCAACAGTAGACAATAGAAATGGTCAAAATAATTTTTATCGATTAAAAATTGAAATAGAGCTGAGTAAGCTAGAAGGAACTTTGGAATTCACATGATTTTGGTTGAAGCAGCCAGAACCCCGTGTAAATCACGTGCGAAGTAGTAGGGGCGAGGTTCAGTTATAACCAGCTTGGTTTATCTATATAAACGCGTAGTTATGCTGAAAAAGCGAGACGGGAGACAATTCTTGAAGAGAGAAGAGAGAATTGGCCCGTGCGAGCGTTGGGAGGAGGAACGCCACTATAACTTTAAGCCCCACACAGCAATCTTTCTCCCTCCATTGCAAGAGTCATATATCGTTCTGAGACGATTTAACAAGATAATCACAGACACTCTCTCTGTTTCTAGAATCCAGTGTATGAGTTTTTTTTTTTTGGGGGTTGTTTTTTTTTTGACTTTTCTTTTCTGTAACCTGTTTCTCTTCTCTACTATTCTTTTCTGCTATATAAAAGACATTAACAATTCAACCATTGAATCGATGTTTGTCCGGCTTTCTGCAGATATTTTTTTTTTTTTTTTTGCTGCATTCTAAATTTCTTAGCATAGACTCCCCAGCCGTGTCTACATCTTCAGTCGACCGTGAATGGATGGACATCACTTCTGCTTTCTGGATCAAACCAAACACAACGTGGGCAGGAAGCAGGATTAAACCAGCGGACGGGTTGAATAATCTACGGATGCTCAGGGGACCTACGGCCACACCCTCAAGTTCGGTTAGGACCGAGTAGACACCTCAACCCAGAGAGTAAGACGTCGGAGGTTGAGGGGCCGGGGCGAATGTGTCCGACTATAATCCCCGTGTCCCATTTTATTAATACCCTTTGCAATTAGTATATTCTTAAAAACAATATTTCACTGTCTGATAATAATAATAATAATAATAATAATAATAATAATAATAATAAAGAAACAAGCATAATTTTACAAGAATACAATTGTAGAGATGTAAATATCTGCCTACTTATCTTTGCTAAGGCACAGAGGCTATATAAGTGCCCAAGAAGTAGAATACGATACGCAAGATTAAACACAATCACAGGACTGAGAAAATACGAAGAAAATCCCTTTTTTATAACAACATTATTTGAGAAGAATTTTTTAAAAAAGGTTGAAGTTTTTTTTTAACTACTAAATAAATATTGCAAATAAAGGACGTTTAAAAAAAAGTCTTCTCGACGAGACGCCATGCACTTGTAATTTCGGAGATTATAATTCATCAGATAAATAAATTTAGAGAAACTTGTCATTGTCACGTAAGGCTAAAAGATTTCTTCGAAATAAATATTTACCAAACTCAAAAGTTATGAAAATAACCACACATATATTTTTGTGTGTAAGGCATTTCACAAAGCACACAGATACTATACTGATCCTGTATTTATTCACCTCCTCACGCTTGGAAAAATGTGACACGAGATTGTTGGGGGGTACAAACTTTTTCTTTGCTGAAGCTTTTAAAGGTTAATCCCTAAGCCACACTGTAAAAGACATGCCCAGGCGGGCATGGGAATAACGAAGGGTGTTATTGTCAGCTACTCCCATTAATCCCAGCAATCGTAAAAAGCAGATTTGGAAAGAAAGGCGAAACTGGATACAACCAGTAAATAAGACTGAACCACTTAGTGTGACATACACAGAAAGCAAATAATTAATGTATACATCTACATGTGGTATATAAAATGGCCGTACTTGAAATATACAATTGTGTGAGTCATTTTTAGGACGATGAAATGTATTCTTTTTGTGAACGCTTTATTACGGTGGAGTAATGGATAGCGGAACAGTATTACAAAGAGTTTTGTTGGTCTCTCGCTGAACTGCGCCCCCCCCACACACACCCACACATAATAATCAAGGGGGTTTCAGTCTGGGGAGTTAGGTGACAAGATGTAAAGGCTGACGTGGTCGCAGAAATTGTTTGACAGCCATAGTTGAGTTCTCTTGTTTGTGTGACATGGTGTAGAGTCCTGTCTCCAGACATAAGGTCATCCAGCAGTCACCCTCTTGTTCCAGGGCAGTAGTACTTCCTCAAGGCACTTGATATAGTCCCCTGTGTTGAGTCTGAGACTCTGTGGGAAGATGAATGGAGGCAATACGTCGCCATCACTAGTGATCACCTCTAATCACCATTAGATTCAATTCAACTCTTTCCAAATCCTTTGCACTGTCCTCAGATTAACAACCAAACTCTCTGAAAGCTTCGTATTGGAGATTCCGGCGGGAAAACAAGCATGCTGTTTCCAAATTTGGGGCGTGGTGAATTGCGTCATGGTGTTCTTTTTCTCACAGACAGTTCAAAACTGACCCTACTATAATGTACAGTCGACAGCATCAAAAACAAACAACGCATATGCGTGAAATTAAAATAAAACATGGGGACAATTTACCCATCGTATCCTATATATATATATATATATATATATATATATATATATATATATATATATATATATATATATATATATGTGTGTGTGTGTGTGTGTGTGTGTGTGTGTGTGTGGAAGCACGTTGGAGTAATGGATAGCGGCTTGGATTGAGGAATCGGAGAGCCGAGGTCGAATTACAGTCGAATCCATTATATTCACTTACCTTGGGAAAAGTATAAATATGAATCCTCTTTTCCCTTCAAGGGTAAATAGCAGGACAAACTGGGTTCTATAGTCTTGGATGGCAACTGATCTACCGCAGAAAGAAATGCGGGAAAAATCTGCCTCGTCAGTCATGTATCGAAAGATACATGCTCGCCTAAGCGTGTATCACGCATGGCACATAACTGACTGGCTATCTACAACGATGAACCGACGAGAAAAGAGACGCGCCTCATGACCAAGGGAGAAAAAAGAGGAAGAAAAGATCTTGCTATCCCCTTTTATAGGCTCCGGCAAGCGATTTTGATTGGCTTCGCGGTATCCTATAACGTTCTATTTTGGGCCACGCGAGTAAGTGTGACATTCCAATTTTAATTTCCACTAAATCCAACAAGGTCATTTTAATGTGGGGTGCCCATAACCGTATATATGGACCAAGATCCAAAATTCCCCAGTTCTTTTCACCTACCCTCCTTTTTATGTATTTACTTAACCCCCCACGAGGTTGGGTTGTGACATAAGGTTGGTTTAATGTGGGGAGCCCGAGCGCGTGCACCCGGGCAAGGAACAAAAATTCCCCTCAGCCCCCGCAACCGTCGGTTGCGCTGGCCTCGGTGCGTGCACCGATCCTTCTCTTTAGTGCAATGAGAAGGCGCGGCATCGGGCAGCTGTTCCCCAGGGTCAGGCACCTCTCAGTATAATTTTCCTCAGTTGCAACTCTGTCCTTTGATGGAGTCGCCCCTGAGTGCACTCTACCCAAAGACAAAGACGCACCTGAGAGATGATAAGTAGACGTGAAATTACTCAAAAACCTCTTTAGTGCAATGAGGGAGGTTCTGCTATAGTGATG